AGGGGAGCACTACACACTGGGGTCTGTTGGGGGGAAATAAGGGAGGGACAGCAGGGGATGGGGAGTTGGGGAGAGATAGCATGGGGAGAAATGCCAGATATAGGTGAAGGGGAGGAAGGCAGCAAATCACACTGCCATGTGTGTACCTATGCAACAATCTTGCATGTTCTTCACATGTACCCCAAAACCTAAAATGCAATTAAAAAATAATAATAAACAAATAAATTCATTAGTAAATAAAAAAATTTTTTTGAAAGATTAAAATAATACAAGGTGTCTTTTCTGATTACAATGGAATGTTGCTGTAAATCAATGACAGAAAACTGAAAACTTAAGTGTGTTATACATTCAAGATACTGTGTCTTTGGCTCTATGTAATTATACCTCAATAAAATTATATATATATATATACACATATATATATAATTTGCTATGTTGGTACTATGAAATCATCAACTTAGAAACTTGCTTGTGTAGCATAATGAAGATGAATATCAACTTCTATGAAATGAGCTCTCTTTTTGTCACCCGAATTAACAGCACATATGTACCCCTCTAACTATTTAAATAACATTTATCACATTCTTTTTACTGTGTTCTACATGGTTGTATATCCATTTTTTTGCCTCTGCTATTGCTTTAAAGGCTACTTTTTGTCTCTGCTATTGGTTTGAAGGCTACTATATAAAAGACCACATGTTATTCATCTTATTTTCCCAGCATGGCACCTAGAAAAATTTCTTACACATTTTATCAGAGGATCTTGGGCTATTATTTCATGAATAATTGATTAAATAAACAAGTACTAATCAAAGTAACCACAGCAGAAACCCTGATTTATGAGAAGCTCTTATGTTGCTTCCTTTTGCAGTTATCCAGATGTCTTTAAAAATGAACCTAAATCTTTTATGGTATGAACACTTAACAAGAGAATGAAGGATGCATGTGGAAAATTTGTGACGGAAAGAAAACATGGATTTCTTACATTTTCAAAAGTCCTGAATATAGTTCATACAGTTAAAAGTAAATCCAGGGCTAGGCACGGTTGCTCACACCTATAATACCAACACTTTGAGAGGCTGAGGCTGGTGGATCACTCTGGGCTCGAGTTCGAGACCAGCCTGGGCAACATGGTGAAACCTCATCTTTATAAAATATCAAAAATTAGGTGGGCATGGTGGTTCGTGCCTGTACTCCCAACTACTCAGGAGGCTGAACTGGAAGGACTGCTTGATCCCGGGAGGTCGAGGCTACAGTGTGCTATGATCGCCCACTGCACTTCAACCTGGGTGGCACAGCAAGACCCTGTTTAAAAAAAAAAAAAAGAAGAAATCCATACTTAGAATTAATTAGTTCAGTGGCATTTACAGTAGCAAACATTTTTCTCTTTAAAGGAAATATTTTGCCCAAAAAATAGACAATGTAGACATTTCACACTTCATTCACTTGTTTGAGCCTATTTAGATACAGACGAACATAGAGAAAAAGGACTATTTTACACCTATACTTAACTCATTTAGCCCTTATTCTTGTTTTTTTTAAAAACTGACTCTTTAAGAGACAAAGAGGGACATTACATAATGGTAAAAGGATAAAAGAAAAAAAAAAAAAAACAAAAACTGACTCTTAAAATCTTGTCCATTCCAATACATTAACTCTGATTTTTGCAGATAACTCATAATCCTGAAGGCCTTTGATTATTACATACTTTCCTTACAAAATTAATCAGCTACAATATTACTTCCCCCCACAATGCACCTTGACATTCATTTCTAAAATTATTAGCTTAAAAATTTCTGTCTGAATTACTCCTGTAATCTTCCAGCCAGGATTCTTTGCTCTAGACTCTGACATTTATGCCACATCATTTCAGAACACACAGTGGAATTCTGAAGCTACGAAGGCTTGAATGTTCATTTTGATTTCATCTAGCTCACTTTTGCATCCGCAATCTCTCATAGTTAGAACTAGGGTCAAATCGTGCTCTGAATGACACGTTGTGGGACATCCAATTACTATAAGACAATATAAAACCTAAGGGCCAGGGATGTAAGTATAGTGATGGCTGTCTTCCTTTCTCCTTTAGAATGTCTGCTCTAAGGCAGCAGTGATTTTGTCTAGATAGTTCACTGTTCTATCTCCAAGCCCTGTCACCATGGGAACAATATAATGCATGGTTTAGGACTTAGGGTCTAGTGTGAGAACAGGAACTAGGAAGCAATAATATTTATCTGTGTTTTTGTTATCATTGTCTAAGAAAGGAAGATTTTTGTTTGATCTCCTGCTATGCCCCAAACACTTGAAACCACGGCAGGATTAGGGCTAGCCTCCCTCTGAGTGTCAGAACGTGGGATAACACCAAAATCACCATAAGACAGCATAAGGCCTATGCCTGGCCTAAACGTTAGGGGTGGGTGGTGGGTATATGTCTCCCATAACCAGGAAGCAAGCTCTGTGAGAACTGAGATTTCTGTCATTTTTATTTTAATTAAATCTCAGGGCCTCAGTTATGGCTAAGCCTCTCTGAGTATCGAATGGTAAAATGCCCAAACAGTAACTAGCATTCTAAGGTCAGTCCTATTGGTCGTGTTGTTACAATCTGTTTTCCAACTGGTAAAACACAGATACTTACAACAAAACACAAAATAATCTCCACACGGTTTAAAGTTCATCATTCACGGGGGAATTTTAAAAACCACATAAAAATCAATACTATTATCAGTTATGATGACATTTATAGTAAATACATAATATATACATATATAAAATATGGGCAATAATCATATCAAATTAATTACAGTGTTTGCCTATTCAAAGAATGGAAGTGGGATGGTACTGGGAAGAGATTTATTATTTGTAATGTTCTGATTGTTTAACAATATAAATCTCTGTGTAAATCAAATAAGCCAAAATGTTGACACTTGTTATTTTTGGGTGGAGGTGAACAAATGTTTGTCATATCTTTCATGCTTTCCTATATTTTTATTTAATTTTGAAAAATAAATAAAATACAAAGATAATTGAAAACATCATTATAGCTGATGATTTTATTACACTGTTTTCAGAGTTAGACAGATCTAGGTAATATAAAGTATACAAAAGCATAAAGCAGCTGAATAGTACAATCAACAAGCAACAACCAGTACAATCAGCAATAAGAGAGAGACAACTTTTAACTTTGTATGTCACAGAGAATGTATATACCTTTTTAATAAAAAGCTTGAATAAACCAATAACTATTGAAGAAATCACAAAGCTGATTAAAAATCTACCATCGAAAGTGTCATCAGGATTAGACTGTTTTACATTTTGTCCTAGCTAACTTTTAACAAACAAATAATCCTAGTGCTATTTAAACTATGTCACACCACATGAAAAAAATTGAAAACTCACAAATTCGTATTTTTTAAAGCTAGCACAACTTCAATAACAAAACTTGATAAAGATAGCTTAAGAAAGACAAAATACAATTTTACTTTGGAATGCAAATGTAATAATTCTATATTAAATTCTGGTAAATAAAATCCAGTAATGCAGCAAATGATTATTTCAGCATGACCAAGTAGCATTTATTCCAGAAATACAAGTTTGGCTCCACATCAAATACCTACCATTCTAATTCATTACATCAACAAATTAAAGAGAAAACAAAAATCACACAATTTTATCAATAGATGCCGAAAAGACATTTTATAAAATCCAGGAGCCACTTCTAGTAATAGCAGTGTAAAACAGGAACAGCAGAAACTCTTAAACATGTTAATGACTATCTACTAATAATCAAAAGTAAATGTCATACTAATAGGGGATGCTATTCCTTATTAATATTTTGCATTCTTACATTTCCATGAAAATTAAGATCAAGACAGTCATGTCTGTCATCATCACTATTCAACATTGCTTTGGAAAATCCAGCTAATGTAATAGTAATCAGAATAAACATTAGAGGAAATAAAATTATCTATATTTGCAGGTGAAGCAATTTCATATCTAGAAAACCCAAAATATATATTCTTAAAAATCCACTGTAATTCCAATAATTAAATAAGCTTATTAGATAGAAGATAAAAATACGAAAATCTATAGGCTGTCTATATTGCCAAAAATAGCAAGTTACAAATGAGGAGAAAAAATAATCAATTCACAATGTCAAAATACGAAATCAAACTGTAAAAATACTTAGAAATAAATTCCATTAGTTATGGTGGACTTACGTGAAGAGTATTACAATAATAAGGCCAAAAGATTTCAATGATGTACTAAAACTCTTAAGTGCTAAAGCTTAATATTATTAAAGAATTCTCTAAACAAAAATGCAGGATTTTAATATAATATAATATAATTCTAATTGTGATGTCAGCTGTCATAATTAGAGTTGTATTAAAATCCTGCATTTCATTTTTTCACGTGAAAGAATGAATGTCTAGGACAGATTATATAAAAGAAAAAAACAAAAGTAATTAAGTGGGACTTGTTTTACCAGATTCTAAAACCTACGGTGAAGCCACTATAAATAAATCATGACATTGGCCCAGAAATTTGAAAATGGGTAATATTTTAAATAAATGTCACAATCAGGTATCCAATGTGAACAAAACGTTATAGCTGGATCCCCGTCTTACACCATATACAAAAATAAATTTCAGATGGATCAAAGATTTAAACGTTAAAAATAATAAAGTTATTAGAAGAAAATGTAGGTGAATATTTGGATGACTTTAGGTGGGGGCATCCATGTGATAAAGAAAGGAAACAAAAATCTATAAAAGAGATAGTGGTCCACCTAAAAAGTTTAAAAATTATAAAGGAAAAGATATCATCAATAAAGTCAAGATTAACAATAAAATGAAAAAAAATTATAAAACATTAGAGCTACAAATGATTAATATGCACTGTGTAGTAAGAATTCTTACAAATTTATAATGAAAAACATCGATAGATACATGAGCAAAGGATAAGAAAAGCCGAATCAGAGAAAAATCCAAATAGAAACAAGGACAACAACAACAAACCTCTTTTAAGTCAGATAAAAGGCAATTAAAGTAACAAGCAATACAATGTAATTTTTAGCTTTTCATATTTTCAAGCATTGAAGAGTGCTGGAGAGGATGCTGGAATGAGCGCTTTCATTTTGGATAGTAATCTTGTAACATTTCTGAAACATACGCCTACATAGCATTTCTGGGAACCCAACCTATAGAAATAAAAGCACCAAAAAAAAAAAAATAAAATAAAAAAAAATAAAAGCACCAGTACGTATTACAGCAGCGTTATTTTGAAAAAAAGGAAATAAAAGACGATCAATAATGAAATGTTTGAATGCTCCTTTGGCATATCAACATGTACTGTGTATTCAGCTGTTAGAGGAAGGGCGTGCAGGGGAGAGCAAGAGTGCAAGAGAGTGAGAGTGAGGGCCAGGGAGCCAGAATAGCAAGAAAGACTGAAGCTGCTGATCAGAAGAGATATCATCTACATGTCAAGAAAGAAAAGTATGTGGCTTGCCATTTTACAGAAACTATCGGAAGATACTTTCTGTAAGGAGATGGGGAAAACAGGTAGAAGGATGTACTTCGTGTCCTCAACACTTGTTACCTGGGAAGAAACAAAGTAAAGAAAGGAAGTGGGAAGGACAGGGCGTGGTTTTACACCATTAATTTTTCTTAATCGATTTTTGCATTGTTTCAATGGTTGCAAACACTTTTTAATTTTCTATTGGCACCCAAATTAAATGTTAAATTACAGAACTAGGCAATATCAAAAGTACCAGAGTACACTTGAGGCAAAATTGTGAAACTAGTCAAGGTAAGATTTGGAGGCACAATACAATTTATCCACTTTCCTAAATTTCTGACACCTAACCTGTTCTCTACGTTCACAATTACGAGGACACAAAATAATTTACATATAAAAGTTCCACAACTTCTGTAAGGAGCACAAAGAATTTAGGGAGTTTTCACCAAACCATAGACATAAATGTGAATATCATCATCAAACTTAATGAAGTAGACAGATGGCTTTGCCACCACTTGATGTATAAAAATGCCAGTTCTCTTGGACCCGTCATCTTTGGCATGCTCCACCTGCTTGCCCACGAGACTGTCGAGCACCTCTCCAGGCTCCCGTTCTGCTGTAGGGAAATAGTAGTTGGAATCTGGAATGATGCGTAGGTCACCATCTTTGTAGTCATCAAGCAGCGTGTACATATAGAGAACAGGATCTTTCTCGTAGGTGATGTAAAACCAAGTATCCATCACAGGCGCTCGCGCCAGGACCATACCCTTCCATTCATCTTTTGTACCGTGCTCGCCTTCAAACACATGCCCCACTGCCTTGCCAATCAGGGAATCTGCCAGTCGCGAATCGATTCGAGGAGTTGGCACTCTCTCAGGAAGGATCTCTAGCGCTAAAACTCTCTTATCGCGGTGCAGTTCTAGTCCATACACACTATCTTTGCCATCGTATTTAATGATATAGAGAGTGGGCTTCACGGAAACCTGCTCGAGCACAGTGCCCTTCCACTGCTCCACTGGCTCGTTGCCTTCCTTCCAGCCGTGTTGAATGCGGCAGCCCACGATGTTCCTACGAGTGAGGAAAGTGGGCTTGCGCCGTTGCTTCCTGTGGGTGTGCCTTTTCTTCATCAGGTATGCGGACACGCCATCTACCCCTATCGGAGGCACAGTCGGAGGAGACATAGCTCAGGGATTCAGAGGGCTTGGAGAAAGCTCTGCCCTGGTCGATTAAACTGACAAAAAGTCAACAGTATGTAATGTGATATTTATTTTTTTTCGCGATCTCAAAGACCTGGTCTGTGCTCCCTTCTCCAAGTGCAAGGCTCTCCACAAGGTTTTGGCAGAAACGCTCGAACTCTAACCGTGAGCACTGGGACAGGGTGTGCCTCTCCACAGCGCTTTCCTCTCTCGCCCTTAGAAAGGGTTACTGCAGCAGTGGCGGCTGCCGCAAGAGATGGCGGGCTCGCGTGTGCTGTTCGTGCCTTGCGCCCTCCCCAACCCCGACCCCAAGTCCCGGAATCGGCCACTTAGCTGTTGTCGATGCTGGTGCGACTGCGGCACGGCGACAGAGGAGACGACGGGGAAGACAGACAAGGCGTAAGAAGGATGGCTGAAGCGGCAAAGGCGGAGGCGGCGGCAAGTCTCTGAGGAGTCCGCGCGGCCTAGGCTTTGCTGCGCTAGTTGGCTTGGCTTCACTCTGGCGACCGGGTTTTTGCCGCCCTGGGAACCCGCCCCCTCCGAGCCCGCCTGCTCCTGGGCTCCGCCCCCGGCCATCCCGCCTTCCGCTCCGCGGGCTGCAGCCTGGCTGGTCAGCGCGCGTGCCCGCGTTCAGTTTGTATTGACACACGCGCTCTCTCATTTCCTCCTCCGCCCCTCGACCGTTTTCCTCAAACCCTAGCCAGACAGGCCGACTCCCCTCCTCCTCCTTTCTGGCGGTCGGCTGCCCGCCAGCCTCCTACACAGTGGCTCCATCTGCTTTCTGTCTTCCAGGAATTCCTCACTTAAAAAAAAAAAAAGAAAGTAAGACACGCACACACAGAGTTTGTGCATACAAATTATTTTCTTTCAGTTTAAGATATTTAAGATGAGAATAAAAAGCCTGTGTAAAATTCACAGTCCACCATCTTAATCCAAAATCTTTTATATTTTCTACCTGATCGTTTCTGGCAATTATATTTAAAAAATTTTTTTTTGGTCAGAATGTAAATGTCATGTACTGACATTGTGGAGATCTAAAATTCAGTGAAATGAAAGAAAAAACTACCATTAAGTTTGCCATCCAGACTGCACCAAAATGTCAACAATGCTGCTTTTTCTCCTGTTAATAAACCTGTGCTTGTATTTTATAAAATTGCAAGCATATTTTATACTTTTATAACTTGAGTTTTTCATGTATATCATGAACATTTTCCAAAGTGATTAAGTACTCTGAAAACATGATTTTTAATGGTTCCATAGTATTCTTTTGTAATATTCCTTTTGTTGATCCACTATCCTACATGATCTATAACATAAGAATAAATAAAAAGATTTTACCTTCATATATGGATTATTTATAGTCTAAACAATTTTTTCAAAGAATATTTAATAACCCGGAGATCTGCACATGAGATGAGAAGAATGTTTGAAAAAGTAAAATATTGAAACAATATTGTGGCCTTAATTTTGTAGAGAAATAATTTTTTGTGCATATATTTGTTGTTTTTCTGATTATAAAAGTACTGCATGCTTATATTGAAAACCTGAATGGAAAGAAAGTGTCCATAATTTCACTTACATTAAGTCACAGAGCTGCTATGAGGATTAAATGAGAATGTCTGTAAAGCTTTTAACACTATATCCCACTTACAAGAAGACATTAAAATCCAGATGAGTCTAGGGTTCTCATTCTCATTCTTTCACTCTTTGCTGGTGAAAAGAGAAGGCATTATGTAATCATGAGTAAAAAAGGCAATTAATTCACCTGGAAACAAACAAAATCAGGAGCAAAAGCTGCAAGGTGTCAGTACTGGCTGCCTCAACATTTCATTAACTTCCAAGTCGGTTACAGAGAGACCTAGTTCTCATACTGTTTAATAGCTGGTCACATAGAATGTGTAAGGATCCTTCAATTCACCATGTTTCCCAGGTCAAGGACTTCAGAGATGGGATAATTCTTTTTTTTTTTTTTTTTTTTTTGAGACGGAGTTTTTGCTCTTGTTGCCCAGCCTGGAGTGCAATGGCGCAATCTTGGCTCACCACAACCTCCGCCTCCTGGGTTCAAGCGATTCTCCTGCCTCAGCCACCCAAGTAGCTGGGATTACAGGCATGTGCCACCATGCCCGGCTAATTTTTTGTATTTTTAGTAGAGACGGGGTTTCACCATGTTGGCCAGGATGGTCTCGATCTCTTGACCTCGTGATCCACCCGCCTCGGCCTCCCAAAATGCTGGGATTACAGGCGTGAGCCACCGCGCCTGGCAAGATGGGATAATTCTTTAATGTTGTCTCACAGGAAAGTAATTCTAAGGAAGAAGGTAAACTACATGAATGAACAATTATTTCCAAAGTCTTTACAATGACATCGTGGTGTATATGTATTCACACATACAAACAAGCTACATGTTCATACTCAAAGTCAGAGGGAGAGTATGTGTAAATGTCATGCCATTATGTTCCACAAATAATGTCTTCCAAATAATACCCCAGACCAAGATGCACCAACCTCTTTTTGCTTAGAAGAGCAGTTGACATGTGAAAGAAGAAAACAGTATACTCAGGCCTTTGGTTACATCCTTCAAGGGAATTCTTTCTTACAACCCCACAAAGTGACCTGAAGAGACCAAAAAAAAATTCTAATACACTTTCTTCTCCAAAATTATGATTCTAATGTTCAGACCATCCACTAACATATAGATTCAAAAGGCCTTATCATGCTGACATAATGTTTACTTTGTATGACTCCCACTAGACAGCAAACTTATTCAAGAATGGACTTTTATCTTGCATCCCAAATACCTTACACAGAATAGGTACTCAATAAACGTTTGTTAAATGAATAAATAATTGCTTTCAGCTGCCCTGCCCCAATGCAAAGAAATCTTCTCAAATAAAACAAGTAGTCTTATGCAAGCTTTTGAAGACTATAGTTCTGGAAACTCAGACTCTCTCACAGCAATTTTATCCATTTAAAACACCTAAATCACTGACCCTGTGAATACATGTGCCCATAAGTCTGAAAATGCTTAGGAGAAAACATTAAAACAAGGGGGAGCAAGCTTTCATCAACCTGCATATATGGATAACAATAAAACTTATCTCAAAGTGTAAATGTGAAGATTGCATTAGATGAATACATACTAAATCTCTTAGCACATGAACTGGTGCATAGTAAGGACTCAGTAGTCTCCTAACTAGTCATTTCCTAAAACAAGTTATTTTGTCATATTATGTTTTTTTATAAACCACTGGGTTCATACCCCATCTCTAAACCTTTCCTCTATTTTGTACACAAGCCCTTTTTGCCAGGGTTAGGTGTGTATCAAGGAGAACTATGGCATGATTTGTTCCTTATATCCAATTTCAGAGCAGTATTTCAAATACTGGAAGCTTCTGGAAGACTGGCTTCTTAATAAATAAACATTATTGAAAATTAATTTAGGATACTTAGTGTTAATTAATAATTGGAGGGGTGGTGGAGTTAGGTATAACTATTGTTAATTCCAGTATGCACAGAAGATGATAATGCATGCTATAAAAGAGGTACAACTGAAGCACTAGGGGACCCAAAGGAGGTAGTGATTTGTTATGGCTGGGGAGATCAATGATGACTACTTGAATGTTTAAAATAACAACAAAAGAAGATATTCAGAGGGTGAGAGAATAGTGAGGTCTTTTCAAAGAGCTCAAGGAAATACACGGAAGGATGCATAGTTACAGGACATCTGACAAACTAGTCAGGAGTTTGTGACAAGAGCACAGAGTTCGTTGTGTAGTCTGTGGTGTGGAACAAAGTCAAAAACCTCAAAGGTGACAAGTAATATTTCATCCACTGTTGGTGGAAGTAGCTGACATTCCAATTCCCCTGACAGTGTGGTGTTGGAATTACCAAGTAGAGAGCTGATCTTCTATGCTTCATCTGACAGAAGTAGGCAGTGTTTTTATTACCCTGGAAGATAAATATTGATGATGCTGAACAGAGAGCTGATCGATTACCTCCCTGACAGAAGTAAGTGGTGCTCTGATTCCCTTGCCAGGATAGCGTCAGCAAGGTCTAACAGTAAGTTGCTCCACCACATTCATCTAGTAGTACAAGTAATTGTTATGATACACCCCCCACATAAACCTGACAGCAATGAGATTGAACAGTAGAACACGGAAGGACTAGTCAGCTCTCTGGTTTCCTATACCTCTAATGTCAATGAAAATCAGTGAGTAGCTGAGCTTCCATCCTCATCCACAGTCAGTGAGACAGAACGAAGGAAAACATGATGGGAGAAGATGGTACTCAACTTTCCCTAAACCTTTTGTGTCAATGGGGCACAGAGTTCAGATAAGCCTCCACTCCCACTTTGGGGTAATAAGATGGTATGAGCCAGTAACACATTTTTACCATGAAGGTGTCAGCAAATTTGGGATGGGAGCTAAACTTCCATACTGCCCATGTGCAATGAGGCAGTGTGAGTTAGTGCTACACTTTTTCAAAGGTTGTGTCAGGGGAACCTAACAGAAGAAGCTGAACATACATAGAAAAGCAGCTCTTCAGCCACAAAACAATAGGGGGGCTCTCTAGCAAATAAAAATATTACAGAGAACACAGAGTCTCATGATATAAAATTAAAAAGTGATTAGGATGCAATGAAAAATCATACAAGGAACAAAGGAAATCACAGCTTAAAAGATACAAGACAATTAACTGATGCCCAAGGCTGAGATAAAAATTAATGTTGGAAATATCTGAAATAAATTGTAAAGCAGCCATTATAAAAAAATAATGATTCAATAAACCCAGGCATTGATGAATGCCTTTAAGTATCAAAAGCATTCAGGGATAAATGACCTCACCAAACTAACTGAAGAAGATGCCAGTAACCAGCCCTGGAAAGATGGATTTGTGTGACCTCTCAGGCAGATAATTCAAATAGCTGTTTTAAAGAAGCTCAGTGAACTTCATGGAGAAGCAATTAAGAAATTTATAAGAGAAATTTAACAAAGAGATTGAAATAATTAAAAAATCAAATCATATAGGTGAAAACTATAACGGATGGAAAGACAAATGCCTTATGATATTACAACACTAGATTTGATTAAGCAAAGAAATAATCAGTGAGCTCAAAGACAAACTATTTAAAAATACCCAGTCAGACATAATGAAAGAAAAGAAGAATTAAAAGCATTGAAAAATGCTTATGAAACCTATGAGACAGCCTCAAAAGACCAAATGTAAAAGCCATTGGCCTTAAAGAGGGCATAGAGAAAGAGAAAGGGGTAGAAAGACCATGCAAGAAAATAATAATAGAAAACATTCCAAATGTAGGGCAAGACACAAATATTCAGGTCCAGCAAGATCAAAGGTCACCAGGCAGATTCAACCTACTACTGAGATTATAAGGCACATTATAATCAAATACTTAAAAGACAAGGACAAAGATAAGATTCTAAAAGCAGTGGGAAAAAAGTAAATAACATATAAAGGAACTCTGATACATCTAGCTGCAGGTTTCTCAACAGAAACTTGTTGGGCCAGGAGGGAGTGATATGACATATTCAAAGTGGTAAAGTAAAAAAAACTGCCAACT